TATTTGTCTTTTGCTTCTTTGCATTTCTTGTTTTCAAAGTTGTTTGAGTCTGTTAGTTTATCCAGTTTAGAGTGTGAAGGTTGTCAATTTGGAAAACATTGTAGACACTCATTTAAAGCTAGTAATAAAAGATGTTCTATTTTGATATTGTTCATACTGATGTGTGGGGGCCATATCACATTCCCTTTATAGGTGGTTATCGGTATTTCCTTCTGTTGGTGGATGATTATTCTTAATATTCTTGGCTATATTTGATGAGATCCCGTGATGAGGTGCTATCTTTGGTTCGACAATTTCATCAGGTGGTGCTAATGCAGTTTGGGGTACGAGTGTAAGTTTTTAGATCAGATAATGCTAAGGAATATTTTGAAAGAAACCTAGCATCATACCTATCAGAGCATGGAGTAATCCATCAAAACAGTTGTTCATACATTCCATAGTAGAATGGTGTAGTAGAAAGGAAGAACAAACACATTGTGGAAGTTGCAAGAAGCATGATGATGACCTCTATTGTTCCAGTTTGTTTTTGGGATGATGCAGTTCTTACAACGGTTTTCTTGATTAATTGGGTGCCTTCTTGTGTTCTTGGATATAGCACCTCGTTCAACCTTCTTTTTTCTTGAGGGGGAGATGTTCCATATTCCTCTAAGGGTGTTTGGTTGTGTATGCTTTGTCCATGTTTTTGGTCCTCACCACTCAAAATTAGACCTTAAGGCAAAGAAGTGTGTCTTCCTTGGGTATGCAGGAAACCAGAAGGGGTATTGTTGCTATGACCTAGTCTTTGGGAGTCGGTATATTACTATGGATGTCACCTTTTTGAGTCTACACCTTTCTTCCTGGGGGGTTCTTCTCAAGGGGAGTGTTTTGGGTAGACCTGTTCATGGGCCGGGTAGCCCGACGGCCCGGCCCGCACCCCGGCCGGGCTTGGTCATATAATTAGGCCCGCGGGCCTGACCTCGGGCTTAACACAGTAAGCCCGACTGTGTTTCGGGCCGGGCTTGGGATTTGTCAAAAAAGC